TCCTACCACTTTTGTCTCATTCACCGTACTCTAGCCACACTGACCTCCTCTCCATTCCTTGAATATGCCAAACTCAATCTGCCTCAGAGACCTGGTGCTGTCTCAGGCTGGAACACTATTTCCCCCAGACCTCCTTATGGCTGATGCTTTATAAGATGGTCTTCACTGACTATACTGCCCCCATCATTCTCTACCACTTACTTTGTTGTTGTTGTTTAAAGATTTTTTATTTATTTATTTGGCAGAGAGACAGAGAGAGCACAAGCAGACAGAGCAGCAGGCAGAGGGAGAGGGAGAAGCAGGCTCCCCGCCGAGCAGGGAGCCAGATGCAGGGTTCGATCCCAGGACCCCAGGATCATGACCTGAGCCGAAGGCCGACACTTAACCGACTGAGCCACCCCGGCGCCCCCTCTTTTTTTTTTTTTTAAGATTATTTATTTATTTATTTTACAGAGAGAGCTACTTACTTTGTTTTCATAGCATTTCTCCCTCTGTCACTATTTTGCTTTTTATTTACTTTGTATTCTGTCTTGCTTGTTGATATGGCCTCAGTGCTGGCACATAGAAAGCATTCCAGGGGCGCCTGGGTGGCTCAGTCGTTAGGCGTCTGCCTTCGGCTCAGGTCATGATCCCAGGATCCTGGGGTCGAGCCCCACATGGGGCTCCCTGCTCCGCAGGAGGCCTGCTTCTCCCTCTCCCACTCCCCCTGCTTGTGTTCCCTCTCTCGCTGTGTCTCTCTCTGTCAAATAAATAAAATCTTTAAAAAAAAAAAAAAAAAGCATTCCAGATGCATATTTGTGGACTGTGTGGATATACTCCCTGAGGCTAGAGAGGTGCATTTCATTCATTCAGCAGATACTCACCAAGGCCCTGCTATGGGTCAGATACTGTACTAGATACTGGTATACAAAGTCATACATGGTCCCTGCCCTGTTTAGCCTTTGAGAGTCAGATTCTGAACATCTTTGAAAAAGAACCTCATCTTCTTTAATTAAAAAAAAGAAAATATCCAACATCTCCAGGTCAGGGGAGGATGACTGGAGTGTGACTCTTAACGGGCTTTGCATTTTGAGGATCTTCTCATCCTCCCTTTAAAATAAAAGCTCTGAGGGCGCCTGGGTGGCTGAGTTGGTTAAAATAAAAGCTCTGGCCCAGATGTGTTCACAGACCCACTTCCCTTGGTTTCTCTGAACCCAGCTGAGGCCAGCAAGGTCTTTCACAAAAATTTACCAAGCACCATAGGAGAAAAATGGAGAAATAAACAGTGACTCTAAGGGGCAGAAATACAGCCAGACAGCAGCCTTTCTGCCCAAAAAGGCTGGCACAGATAAGCTTTAGATCTTGTGAAGTAGGGAAAGTCACCTTAAAAACTTCCCTACCAAAAGGGGCACCTGGGTGGCTCAGTTGGTTAAGCATCAGACTCAGGGTTTCAGCTCAGGTGATGATCTCATGGGTAATGGGATCAAGCCCCACATTGCCGCGCCCTGCTCAGCTGGGAGTCTTGCTTGAAGATTCTCTCTGCCCCTCCCTCTCAAATAAATAAATAAGTCTTTAAAAAAAAAAAAAAAGTTTCCTACCAAGAACCTCCCTCCCGGGCATTTTGACCTCGTTTTGGTTCAGAGTGGAAGATAAAAAACATGAGCTTGCTGTCCCCTCAGAGTTTTCTGGACTCTGTCCCTGCCTCAGATTATTGGTGTCATGATAGAACTCATGCCTTGAGTGAAATTTTACTTCCTCCCCAAAGGTAAGGCTTAGTTCCCCACCCAACAATTAAGAATAGTTAATGTCATGGTTTCCTACAGTGTAGAACTTGTGTAATATGTTAGGTGAATTGAGTGTTTCAAAGTCTGATCAAGAAAAATTTTAACACTTACCAAGTTCTAGAATAAGAAATATCTTAGGGCACCTGGCTGACTTAGACCATGGAGCATACAACTGTTGATCTTGGGGTTGTGAGTTCAAGCCCCACGTTGGGTATAGAGATTACTTAAAATCTTTAAAATATATATATATATTCACAGGTACAATCTAGAAAATAATTAGTTTTCTCAGAAGCACAGGACCCAAAAAAGAATTTGACATATAACATTCGCCGTTGACAACAAACGTGTACTAACTAAGCCAGGCACAGCACTAAGTGCTTTGTATGGAAAACCACAAGGATAATACATTCTATGAGATACATGTTTCCAGTACAGTAGTCCCCTTTATTCATGGGGAATATATTCTAAGATCCCTGCTGTGAATGCCTAAAACCACAGATGGTATTGAACCCTATATATATTATATTTTTTCCTATACATACATATCTGTGATAAAGTTTTATTTAGAAATTAAGCACAGGGGCGCCTGGGTGGCTCAGTTGTTGGGCATCTACCTTCGGCTCAGGTAATGATCCCCAGGTCCAGGGATCGAGCCCCGCATCAGGCTCCCTGCTCCGCGGGGAGCCTGCTTCTCCCTCTCCCACTCCCCCTGCTTGTGTTCCCTCTCTTGCTGTGTCTCTCTCTGTCAAATTAATTAATTAATTAAGTAAGTAAGTAAGTACAGTAAGAGATTGACAATAACAGCTATTAATAAAACAGAACAATTATAATAATTTACTGTAGTAAAAGTTATGTGAATGTGGTATCTCTGTTTCTCAAAATATCTTACTGTACTTACCCTTGTGGTAATGTGAAATGATAAAATGTCTACATGATGAGATAAAGTGAAATGAATGATGTAGGCATTGTGACATAACATTAGGCTACTACTGACCTGAAGATGTGTGAGAGGGAAGATCATCTGCCTCCAGAATATGGTTGACCGTAGGTAACTGAAATCACAGAAAGTGAAACTGCCAGATAAGGGAGGGCTTCTGTACTCCCATTATAAACAGAGGAAAAGCACAGGATGGAGATTAATTTCTTTTTTTTTAAGATTTTATTAATTTACTTGAGAGAGAGCATGTGCCCGAGAGAGCAAGAGCAGGGGGAGAGGCAGAGGGAGAGGGAGAAGCAGGCTCCCCGCTGAGCAGGGAGCCCAACTTAGGGCTCCATCCCAGGATGGTGGGATCATGACCTGAGCTGAAGACAGACACTTAACAACTGAGGCACCCAGGCGCCCTCAGATTAAGTAATTTCTATAAAATCACAGTCACAGAAACAGCAGCAGGATTTGAACCCAAGTCAGCATGCCTGGGGAGCCCAAGTTCCTAACCAAGATTTGTACCACACACATTTAACTGGTATTAGATAATAGTTTGTGTTTACTATATAATAACAGGATTAATTTACCTTTTCTCTTGAAGGTAAAAGATCATCCAGCAGCATCTTCTAATTGATATTTATCCTCCAAAATTGCTTTTCAAATCTTCTGATTTATTCGAAAGAAACCAATTTTTAATGTTTCCTTAATAAACAAACTCACGTTCTTTCCATACAAAAAGAATATTCTAGGGCGCCTGGGTGGCTCAGTCATTAAGCGTCTGCCTTCGGCTCAGGTCGTGACCCCAGAGTCCTAGGATCAAGCCCCGCATCGGGCTCCTTGCTCCGCAGGAAACCTGCTTCTCCCTCTCCCACTCTCCCTGCTTGTGTTTCCTCTCTTGCTGTGTCTTTCTCTGTCAAATAAATAAATAAAATCTTAAAAAAAAAGAATATTCTAGTCTTTCAATAACTAAACCCCAATACAATTTTCTAACCAAAACGCTGTGTACAGTTATACCAATGTAAATTTTTAAAATCAGAAAATGCAGGACACCTGGCTGGCTCTGTCAGTAGAGCGTGCAACTCTTGATCTCAGGGTTATGAGTTTGAGCCCCACAGTGGGTGAAGAGATTACATAAAAATAAAATCTTTTTAAAAATAAAATAAATAATAAAATCAGAAAATGCTATTGATCTTTTAGTGGAATAAATGTTGGTGTTGCTTTATTTTTAATTCCACAGAAAATGTTCACAAATAATAAAAAAATACAGAATTTATTATTACAGTTTTAAAAAAGAGTGATAAAAATGATTCTCTTTTCAAGTCTTTCAATCTTTCTGATTCTATCTGGGAAAAATGTCTTAACACCTTTCTTCACAGTTGCTGCTCTCATAGTCTTTATAAGGCGAGCTCCAAGCCTCTGGTACCAGTGTCAGTCTAGAATTACTTCATTTTTATTGGTATCTTTCTTTTTTAATTTTTTATTTTTATGTTAATCACCATACATTACATCATTAGTTTTTGATGTAGTGTTCCATGATTCATTGTGCATAACACCCAGTGCTCCATGCAGAACGTGCCCTCTTTAATACCCATCACCAGGCTAACCCATCCCCCCTACCCCCCTCCCCTCTAGAACCCTCAGTTTGTTTTTCAGAGTCCATCGTCTCTCATGGTTCGTCTCCCCCTCCGATTTCCCCCCCTTCATTCTTCCCCTCCTGCTATCTTCTTTTTTTTTTCTTAACATATATTGCATTATTTGTTTCAGAGGTACAGATCTATGATTCAACAGTCTTGCACAATTCACAGCGCTCAGTTGGTACCTATTTAAATTTATGATCTAAAGATTTCTTTTTAAAAGAATTTATATCATGGTGATTATAGTTAATAATGCTGTATTGTATATTTGAAAGTTGCTAAGAGAGTAAATCTGGAAAGTTTTCACCACCAAAGATTTGTAACTATATATGATGACAGATGTTAACTAGATTTATCATGGTGACCATTTTGCAATATATATAAATATCAAATCATTATATTGTACACCTGAAACTGATATAATGTTGTATATCAATTATAACTCAAAAAAATTTACTTAGTAAAGAAAATTGGCTTACACAAAATTGTAAAGTTATTATATAGGTGATATGAGAATATAGCATGAGTCATGAAAGCATAGGGAAGGAGTGACTAAGGTGTGTCGAGATATAACGATATGGCATTCCATTACTCAGTGCCTACATTTGAGACCGGGTTCAAAGACAGTGCTGTTGAGGTAGGTTTTTAACTCAAAGATTTTTTATTTTCCTCTCGTAGTGGAGCACATGATCCAGAAGAACCAGTGTCTCTTTACCAATACCCAGTGTAAGGTTTGCTGCGCCTTGCTCATTTCTGAGTCCCAGAAGCTGGCACACTACCAGGTATGCCATTGTACCTTTAGAAATACTTTACTTTCCAAAAATAAAAAAAAAAGAAATACTTTATTTTCCACAGTCAGTGCCAAGCCTTCACTTCTCCCTGGCTTGCACAATGAAGTGTATGTGATTCCTTCCTAGCCACCCAGACATTGCCTCCATGCATGTTGACTGTGATTTGAAGGTTGACTTAATTTTTCTGTGTCTCATTTCTCCCATCCAAATCAGGATCATCATACTTATATCTTCCCTCTCAGTGTGGTATAGTAGAAAGTATGCACTTTGGCTTTAAATAGACCTGAGTTAGAATCACAACTCTGCTGCTCATCTTGGGCAAGACACCTCACCATCTTCAGTCTTAGTTTCCTTATCTGTAAGATAGAGATGATGGTAATTTTCTCATAGATTGCTGTGAAGGTTAGACTTGATAGCATGTAAAGTGCCTTGAACAGAGTAGGAGCTCAATAAACTAGGTTTCTTCCCCTACCTTCTCCTCCTCAAAAGTTTTTGTGAGGATGGATCAGATGGAAATCTAGTATTTTTGAGTGCCTTAGATATGAAATGGCATTTGGCTATTTTTGATCTTTTTCCTGGGTTCTTGCAGAGCAAAAAACATGCCAACAAAGTGAAGAGATACCTAGCAATCCATGGAATGGAGACATTAAAAGGGGAAACGAAGAAGCTAGACTCAGATCAGGTAATCCAGCTGCCATGTTGAGACTGCTCACTTTCTGATGAAGCCAACAGGCAGGTTGGTGTGGTGGAAAGAAGGTGGGCTTTGAGTCAGACTGAATTGGCTTCAAATCCTGGCCATGTTGTGTGATTTGGAAAAGTCTTGTTACTTCTCTAAGCCTTGATATCGTCCTCCCTAAAAATGAGAATGCTAATATCAACTATATTTTAGGATTTTTCCAAACTAAAATGAGGGAAGGTTTATAAAAAGCAGCAAACACAGAGCCTGGCACATAGTAGGACTCAGTAAATCAAGCCATTATTATGCATTACCACCCAGTGGTTTATTGGAGCAGGACAAGAAGCTTCCCCTTCACTACTCAAGGAGAAAAAAGGGAAAGAAACCAGGCTGCTTGCTTTCTTGAAATGGGAGGGAAAGAGCTGAGTTCAGCACTTGAATGTTTTGAATAAACAAGTGGAAAAAACACCTTTCCAAATGCCTGTTCTGATTGAGGTGTAAATGCACTTGCTTTTTAGCTTAGAAATACTGTGAGAATTATGCTGAAACAATCCTAGTCCCTCAGGGGTACCATTATTTTTGTTCCATGGGAGGTTGTTCAAATGTCATGGGATGAGAAGTCCACTGATGAGGGCCCGATACCAGCTCTGCAACTTACTGGTTTGGTGACTTTGGGCAAATCACTTCACCTCTCTACTTTACCCATAAAATGGAGATAATAATTCCTACCTTTTAAGGGTATTGTGAGGTATAATTCCAATTCCTAGTGGATGTTCAGTGACTGAAAATTTACAGATTGCTTCCTATTATATATAGAGGTCACAGGTTTGGAAGGGCCTTACTCATCCTTCTCCAAAGTCACTGGACCCATCCCCTAGTGGCCCTTCTGCTTATGATTTAGAATTCAGAAAGACAAGACCAACTGTATGACTCTGGACACGTCACTTCACCTCTTTGTATCTTGATTATTTCAACCCTCGGGGTGGTCCAGTAGTTCAAATGAAGTGACATTCCCCTTCCTCTATAACAAAGAATTATCTAGTCCAAAATGTCAATAGTGCCAAAATTGTAAAATGCTCTTGTAACAAATACTATTCACAGATCAGACCTCAGAGAGCTGGGAGCTCTTAACATAGGCTTGAAATACATTGTTTTCTGGCCTAATCACAATCAACAAATAAAACCCAAATATCTGCTTGTTCAGCAAACCCTGAATATCTGCTGTGTGCCAGACTCCAGCAGGGTGCTAAGGATGGGAAACAAAGATGAGTCCAGTGGTCCATGCCCAAAGTCCTCCTAAGCTGTGACACTGTCAGTTTGGATGACAAGTGGTATGATAAAGGTCTGTTTAATGTACTCTGGGCATGCAGAGATGGAAGATGATTAACTTTTTCTGAATACCCACACAAAGCAGCTCAATAATTGTGTACTGAATGGTTTTCTTGCGTAATAATCTCCCAGAAGTGACATATGTGTGTGTGTATATATATATGGGCCTTGAAGGCTAAGCAGATACACGCCAGGCAGGAAAAGAGGAAGATCATTCTAGGTAGCAGGAATGGCCCAAGCAAAGCAAGGAAGCAACAGAGAATAAAGTGGGGAATGGTGAGTAGAGCCTGAAATGAAGTAGCTGGAGAAAGATCCAGAAAGGTAGGTTGGGGTTAGTATGTGAAGGGGGCCTTGAATTCCCATTCTTCTATGGGCAATGGGGAACCATTGAAGATTTTCTGGCTGGGCAGTGGCGTGATCAGACCTGTGTTCTTTCTCCCAACCAGAAGAGCAGCAGAAGCAAAGACAAGAACCAGTGCTGCCCCATCTGTAACATGACCTTTTCCTCCCCTGTCGTGGCCCAGTCGCACTACCTGGGGAAGACCCACGCAAAGAACTTAAAGCTGAAGCAGCAATCCACTAAGGTGGAAGGTACTGGTTTTCCTGAGTAGTGCTATATCGGTACCCCTCCCATCCTCAGGGCACCAATGCCAGGTGCTACCAGAAATGCTCACTGGGGCCACAGACTTGGAGAGGTTGAACTACTTTTGAGAACCCTTAAAAATATCAAAGTAGACCCAGCTTCAGTGAAATGCAGCCTCAGAGTTGTGCTCACCTACCTTCCCTTTCTTTGGTTACATCAGTTTTTCTCTGTAGAAGCATCTTAGCCCTGAGCTTTTGTCCTGACAAATAATTATAATTAGGGGTTCCAAAGTCCTCCAGGCCGTGCATACCATGAGAGCATTCTATCTCCTACCTCTCCCACTTAGGTTTTTCTCTCCCAGCCTCCACCTGCCCTTATTACCATGTGTTCCAAGTTGAAAGCTAAATCCTTGTCTTTTTCGTGTGCTCAGGTTATGCCCTGCTCACTTTAATCCTCAAAGCTGCCTGTTCTCCTCAAGACAGGGACTTGCTTTTCAAAGCGGGATACTCTAGTGCTGCCACTGGTGCCCAGCAAGCCATGTTTGCAACTGTCATGAATTCATTTCCAGTGCAGTGACTTCTAAAATAGTCCCCTTTATCTTGTCACCACTGGTACTCAACCCCCACTCTCATCTCATTAACTCCTGACTTTCTGGGAATTTTTAACCTGTGCTAACTGCAGTCAGCCAAGAATGAAAGTTCTTTGATTTTTATTTCATTTTTTTCTTGGTAATTTTTGCTTCTTTATTTATTTTGGACCAAGAAGTAAACTGGCTGTACTATTTATAACACTTATTATTCTTTTTTATAATACTGTATTATGAAAACAAGACAACAGTGTTTTGGAAGACTTTGAAGATAAGGTGAAAAATCACTCATAATTATACCCTCTTAAACACACCCAAATCTACTTCATGCTATGAAACAACAGAATATGGACTTTGAGGTCACAGACATGCAGGTTTAAATCCTGATGCTGCTATTTACCATCTATATGACTTAACTTCTTTGAACCTGAGTTTCCTCACCTATAAAATGTTAATAGTACTATCTACTTTATGGGTTATGAGGATGAAATAATGTATATAAGGAACCTAGGACTTAATAGATGCTCAGTAAATGACAGCTGCTGCTGTTAGTATTATCACCATCATTGAGATAGCCAGCATAAGTGGAATCCCCTTATGAAATGTAGTATTTGCTCAGGCATCCACCACCTGGAGCATGTCATTGGCCTCGCTTATGGTTGGTTCATCATTAAGTTATACTAGTACTAATGGCTTTTGTTTAAACTTGGTGTTGGGGGTGCCTGGCTGGCTCAGTCAGTGCAGCATGTGACTCTTGATCTTGGGGTCGTGAGTTCAAGCCCCACGTTATATGTAGAGATTGCTAAAAAAAAAAAAAAAATACGTAAACTTAAAAAAAAATAAAGTCGGTGTTGGAACCATGAATGGTACCAAAGAGATTAAAACATTAGGCCAAGGGAAACTATCTTAAGAACAGAACTTTATAAGGTCATTTATCTTTATATGGATTGATCTTTTCCATAAATGGGAAAATTTCCTGGAATATGCCAGGTCTCAAAGATTCCATACAAAGAGATTATTTTCCATATTCATTTTTAGGCTTTGCCACATACAGATAAGTTTTGATATAGTTGTAATCAAAGTGCATCTACCATTTGTATCCTGCTTTTACTTTTCACAGAATTTTGTAGTTTAAGCACATTTCCATGTTATTATGTGAGTGTAGAACTCTATTTCTGAAATTAAACATTTTTCTAATGCAAAAGTAATAGAAGCATGTTGTAGAAAATATGGAAAATATAGGTATATGAAAAGAAAACGTACCTATAATTTTACCACTCAGAGATAACCACTGTTAACATTTTGTGGAGTACTGTTTCTCCTATAATCTTCTGTTATGTGTATCTGTGTGTATCTGTGTGTATAGTTGTTTTATGTATATCCAGATTAAATCCATATATATATGTCCATATAAACATAGAATACTTTAGCCTTATCGTGTTTATAAAAATGATACTATGCATACTCGCTATGAGTAATTCTAGCACAAACGATGCAAAAAGTACAAAGAAGAAAGTAAAATATCCCCCAAATCCTACCACCAAAAGAGAAACACTATTAATATATTGGTGACATTTTCAGAATACCAGTAACACATAAAGACTGTGCATATATCTTTTAACAATGATAAGATCATATTGTGTGTAAAATTTTATACGCTTTCTGTTTAATGTAACATTTGTATATCCCCATGTTATTAAAAACTTCTTTATAAACATTTTAATGACTATATAATAGCCCATCATACCATATTTAACCATTCCTTTAATGTTGAACATTTCCCCCTTCCCCTTTTTTGATATTTATAAATAACAGTACAGCAAACACCCCTGTAGAATACTCTTTACATACTTCCAGCTGTTTCCTGAGAGAAGACCCCCTTAGTTGTTACTTTTTGGTTGTCCATAAAGCGGTTCCTCCAACTTTACTTAACCATTTACCTCTGATGTTTCTCTTCAGTATCTTTTAAAGAATGACCTTTTTATGTCTTAACAACCATTATTGTCTCTCCTTTCTGATGTGAAAAATCTATATTCATTGTAGAAAAGTTGGAAAATACTGAAACACACCCTTTTACTCTATGCCTTTGGCCTTTTTTCCATGCATCACCGGTATGTTTTTTCATTTGTTTATTTTACAAAATTGAGGACATAAATAGATTGCTGTATAACCTGCTTTTTCTTTAACATAACACCACATACTGAATAGTTTCTCATATATTAAGTATTCTACAACATGTGCATTACTTTTCAAGTGACTTGCTGAAACAATGGACAGGGAAAGTTAGTGGTCAGGGAAATTGAGATTCCTATGCTGGAAAATCATTGTGAGAAAAGCCAGCAAGTTTCCTCTGGCTTGCTAAAAATCCTCGAAACTTCCCCCATTGAAGTGGTCCAGGTATGAACAAGCATCTGAGCCATCGATCTGAGTGCTGCTGAGCCCCACTTCTCTTCCACCATTGGTGGGGGTTCTAGGCCACATTTTTAAAGCAGTGGTTACTAGGTTGACACCATTCTAGCCACGTGGACTCATTAGTGAGTCTTGGCATCCACTTCATAAAGCAGCAGTCTGGCCTGCCATCAGTATCAGGATATATGTTGACCCACAGGAGGCTTATGCATATGCCTATAACAGATTCTGACTAACTGAATTCATTGACCAAAGCCAGGGATGTTTTCTGAAGGTGAAAGCATGATCTGTAGCCCTCAGGTTACCCTACCACATTCTGGCAGCCTGGCATAGCAAAGACAGCATAGTCTTTAGGGTCACACAGGTTCACTCGCTAGCAGGGTGATCTTGGATAAGTCACTTTACCCATCTGAACCTTGTTTTTTCTCTATAATGTGGCAAAATGATATCTATCTCATGGGATAGTTCTGAGGACCAAAGGAGGAAATAACATATACAAAGCATGTAACTAAATGTCAGTGTCATCCCCTCTCTCCCCTACTCAGCAGCCTAGAAGGCAGTGTAACCCAAAAGGCCTCCCTAGTGTGGTTGCCTTTTCTAAATGACCCTCCAGGTCCTCAGGCCCTCAGTTGCTACATCTGTGCATTGGCTCCCAGCTCTGTAACTAGGGCACTTTGAGGGTGGGACTAAAACATCCAAATTTCTTGTCCCACTTGCTATGAAGTTCTCAGGAATTCTGAGGGATAAAAAGACTACAAACATGTATGTTTCTAGTCTGTTGTAACTGGGCAACTTGATAGCAGAAGCCTCCTCAGAATATGAGATAATCAGGATTCATGTACCTGAAGTAGTGAAAGCTGCTGATCAAGTAGCTGGTCTTTGAGCTCCCCCAAATCTTCCCAATTTTCCCAATTAGAGAAGGCTTTCCCTGTGTGAGTCATACAGGCAGTGCCACATCTGCAAGTGTGATTAGTGACCCAGCCTTTCTTTCCATTCAGCAGACTAGAAAGCTTGGCACCTTCGGGGTCTTTTCATTGTTTCTGTTTGAACTCTCTCACCGCAGCTCTGTCGAAACGCCTTACAAACCCTTTCCTTGTGGCCTCCACCTTAGCCTTGCACCAGAATAGAGAGATGATAGACCCAGACAAGTTCTGCAGCCTCTGCCATGCGACTTTCAACGACCCTGTCATGGCTCAACAACATTATGTGGGCAAGAAACACAGGAAACAGGAAACCAAGCTCAAACTCATGGCACACTATGGGCGGCTGGCAGACCCTGCTGTCACTGACTCATCAGGTAAGAGGGCCCAGCTCACACCCAGAGCTGGATCAGGCCCTGACCACTGGAGTTCCCCCGACTACCAAAGCTATGCCTTTTCTTCCTTACATCTCCTAAAGCAGGCGTTGCAAACTCAAATGCTTGCAGAAACCAGACAGGAAATTTAAATAAGTGAAAGAGCCAAGAGGGGATTTGATCAGCTGAAGAATATATGCCTCTCCTAGGCAGCTCCAGCTAGTTACTACCATATCTTCTGTTTTTCAAAAGACTCTAGAAAGTCAGATTTCTTTAAGAATTCCCCTCATTTTGGGGCGCCTGGGTGGCTCAGTTGGTTAAGCGACTGCCTTCGGCTCAGGTCATGATCCTGGAGTCCCGGGATCGAGTCCCACATCGGGCTTCCTGCTCAGCAGGGAGTCTGCTTCTCCTTCTGACCCTCTTCCCTCTCGTGCTCTCTGGCTCTCATTCTCTCTCTCTCTCAAATAAATAAATAAAATCTTTAAAAAAAAAAATAAAATAAATAAAAAAAAAAAAAAAAAAAAGAATTCCCCTCATTTTTAGGGGCACCAGGCTGGCTCAGTCAGTAGACCATACGACTCTTGGTCTTGGGGTTCTGAGTTCAAGCCCCATGTTAGGTGTAGAAATTACTTAAAGATAAAATCTTAAAAAAAAAAAACCCTCAGTTTTAAATGTGCTACCAAATTTTAAAAATGTTAAACCCTGTGTGAGTCAAGCCTGTCTGCAAGCCAGATTTGGGCCAAGGGCCACCAGTTTGCAACCTCTGATTTAAGCTCCCTCTCATCCACATTCCTATGTGAGGACCTCAGTAGCCTCTGTCAGATTTTAGAGTATCCTCAGGGCCCCTCATCTCTCAGCAGCTCAGGCCTGCCTATATCCTTGGGATAGTGTGAAGGACACCACTCTGACTCAGAGAACATTAGTTTTTCCCTGACTTCAAGATGCCAGTCAGCATCACAGGAGTAAGCATTCATGAAGAGTTAAGAGCCCTTCCCAGGGGCACCTGGGTGGCCCAGTCGTTGGGCGTCTGCCTTCGGCTCGGGTCATGGTCCCAGGGTCCTGGGATCGAGCCCCGCATCGGGCTCCCTGCTCAGCGGGAAGCCTGCTTCTCCCTCTCCCGCTCCCCCTGCTTGTGTTCCCTCTCTCGCTGTGTCTCTCTCTGTCAAATACATAGATAAAATCTTTGAAAAAAAAAAAAAAGAGCCCTTCCCAATCACAGTAACTATTTAGGGCTTATAATAAGAGTAGGGGAGGGGAAGATTGTTATTTTCTCTTTCATTCAGTCAGTAAATGTTTATTGAGCACCTACTGTGTTCCCTCATTGAGGGAAGAGTCCCTGTCTCCTGGAGCCTACGTGAGCATGCAATGGGTCCTCAGGGTTTCCACCCAGGCCATGGAGATGCAGCACCAGACAGTCAACCCTTGAGGCCCCCATGGCATCCAAGTACAAACAACTTGGCCTCAGGGAACCTGTTGCTCAGAGTCATCTGTGCTCTTGCCACAGTCCTGGAAAGGTGAACACCCAGATGTTGTAGATGTTCCAGACCACAGATGAACAAGGGGAGAGATCATGCGTCTCTAATAACCCCCAAACCCAAAGCAGCCATAAAACACAGGTCGTCACTGAGCAGTACTGACAAGATGAGATGGGCATGAAACAGTGGCTTCAGCAGGGTGCTAAGGAGTGTTCTTCCAGTGCCACTGAAGGACCTTGCTTTATAAACCTCTTCAAAATTGGGTATTTACAGGGCGCCGGGTGGCTCAGTTGGTTAAGCGTCTGCCTTCGGCTTAGGTCATGATCCCAGGGTCCTGGGATCGAGTCCCACGTCAGAAGAGAAGGCGACTTCTCCCTCTGCCTGCCACTCCCCCTGCTTGTGTGCTCGCTCTTTCTCTCTCTCTGTCAAATAAATAAATAAAATCTTTAAAAAAGAAAAAACAGAAAATTGGATATTTACGTAGTGTTCCCACATACAAGTAGTGCCTTCCCTTTTAACAGGATCAGCCCCATATGCTGAGGAATCTGGAAACTTCAGAACCAAGCTCCTCAGAACCCTTCTTCTATGACACCCTCCTATTTTGGCCTGAGACTGATAGAGACAACATAGCATCCAGCCGGCATGACCCAGGGTTCTCTTGCAGCTGACACTTCTTTGCTCCAGCTCCTGGCCCTCCTTTATTTGGCCCTGCCCTGGTCATTTTCTCATTATCTCTGTCCACTGCCGGGACTTAGACACTGCCATATTTTAGGCTGCTTATCTTAACTTGTATCCATTCTATTATCTTAAGCCAAAGTCTCCTTCCTATATCTACTCCTCCATTTGTCTAAGACTAATTACCATACTTAATCCTAGAACTGTATCCTAGGTCCTTTCTTCTTGCTTAAGGCATCTGACTGCTTTACAGACCAGCCAAAATTTTTCATGAAAACCTAGGCAGGGGGCAGGGGTATCACACCCCCTTAGATATTAACATATATATTATAATTTAATTCCCTCAGCATTCCTAAAAATAGGTACGATTTTTTCCATTTCACAGATAAAGAAGTTGAGACTCAGAGTGACTTGCCTAAGGTCAAACAGCTGATAGGACCTGATGTTGTTAAGTGACAGTATTAGTATGTGTCTCTGGCTCTGTCTGGCTCCAAAACTTACACTCCTTCCTCCTGCCTCCAGCTCTGAGTATAATTGACAGGAGGCTTTCCAACTACAGGACATCAGTAGAGGCACTGAATGCACTCTGACCCCCTTCTTACCCACAGAGTGGGATGCTGATCTAGGATATGCAAAGCAGTGACTTGAGCTGATAGGGACTCCGCCTTAGTAAAGGTTTTAGGTTTGTTAGCAGCTTGACTTTTCCCTGCTGGCCTCTGCCAAAACTTGTTTGTTCCTTCTATCAGTCAGTCATCCTATACTTACCTGCGGCGGCTGCAGTCCAGGCTTAAGCTAGATGCTCTCACATGTAATTACCTGATTTAATCCTCACAGCAGCTCTGTTGTGCAAGTTTGATTATCCCCATTTTACAAATGAGGTCATTAGGATCAGAAAGATGAGGTGATTTGTCCTGAGTCCCACACTAGGCAGCAGCAGGCAGAGCCAGCATTGAAACTCAGGTCAAGTTCTATATTGGGTCCAGAGAATAGTTTCCATGGGGCTCTTGTCAAAGTGTCTCCTGACAAGTATGGATCAAATGTGAGATGACCCAGAGTGTCCAGATCTCTCCCCCAAGCAGAAGTTGCAGCATCCACCAAGCAGAGCAAAGACTTGGAGTTTGCTTTGTAATTAAGGCTCATATGTCTCTTGTTTATCCAAGAATACCATAACTAAAGCCTGCATTTCAGGCAGTCAAATCCTTCCAAATGCCAGAGCATTCAACATCCCGAGGTTACTGGGATCCTCCTCTGCTTTACCCCATCACTTTCTCTTCCTACGTAGGGCCTTTCCTCCTACATAGAACAGGTCTGCTTTCTCTGCCCCATACTGATCCCTCCGGTTTCTTCAACTACTACATAAGACAAGTTTTCAGGTCTTGTTAAATTCATATATAGCCAAGAAATATTTGTTAGGTTCTTTCCTAATTTATGCCAGGCATTGTATATATGGTAGTGAACAGGACAGGTATTGCCCATGTTCTTATAGAGCTTAGAGGTTAGCAGAGAAGGTAGGCATTGAGCAAATAACTAAACAAATGGGGCACCTGGCTGGCTTAGTCAGGAGAGTGTGCAACTCTTTTCTTTTTTTTTTTTTAAGATTTTATTTATTTATTTGTCAGAGAGAGAGAACACAAGCAGGGGGAGCAGCAGGCAGAGGAAGAAGCAGGCTCCCCTCCGAGCAGGGAGCTCGAGCGGGACTCAGTCCCAGGACACTGGGATCATGACCCGAGCCAAAGGCAGACACTTAACTGACAGCCACCCAGGCATCCCAAGTGTACAGCTATTGATCTCAGGGTTGTAAGTTTGAGCCCCATGTTGGGTATAGAGATTACTTAAAAATAAAATATTAAAGAAAAAGAAAATGGGGCACCTGGGTGGAGCAGTCGGTTAAGCGTCTGACTCTTGGTTTCGGCTAAGGTCATGATCTCAGGGTTGTGAGATCGAGCCCAGCACTGGGCTCTGCACTCGGCTTGGATTCTGCTTAAGATTTTCTCTACCCCTCCCCCCCTGCTCTTGCTCTCTCTCTTTCTCTCAAATAAATAAATAAATCTTTTAAAAAGTAGGGGGGCACCTAGGTAGCTCAATTGGTTGAGCACCCAGCTCTTGATTTTGGCTCAGGTCATGATCTCAGAGTCCTGGGATCGAGCCCCACATCTGGCTCCATGGGGAATCTGCTTGGGATTCTCTCCCTCTGCCCCACCCGCCCCCCCGCTTGTGCACATGTGTGCGCTCTCTTTCTTCAAAAAAAAAAAGGAAACAAAATGGGATAACTTAAGATGGGGGAGCAGGGATCAAGGAAGGCTTCCCAGAGCGTAAGGAGAAAATAGTGTTGGGCAAAACGATCCTGGGAAGATGAGCAAGCATCCAGTCATGGTGGTGGTGATCATGTTAAGGCTTTGGGCCTTTATCCTAAGAGCATTGGGAAGCCACTGACAGTTTAAGCATTATTAGATCATTCTGCTTACAAAGTGGAGAATGTTTTGGAACAGGGAGGAAGGGGAGTATGGAGACCCCAGCAGTGAGGATATTGTAGTAATTCATACTGAAGAAGATGGGAGCTTGGACTAAGGTGGCAGTGGAGAAGGTAGACAGAAGTAGATGGATTCAAGAGCTATTTGGAAGTAAAACTGCCAAGATTTGGCCGTCAAATGTGGGAGGCAAGGGGCACCTGGCTGGCTCAGTCAGTAGGGCATGCAGTTCTTGATCTTGGAGTTGTGAGTTCAAGCCCCATGTTGGGTGTAAGAGATTAAATAAAAATAAAATCTTTACCAAAAAAAATGTGAGAGGTGAAGGAAAGGGAATAGTCAAGAATGGTGACCAGGTTTAGTGTTAAGCTATTAGGTGGATAGCCAGGTTTCATCAGCTTAAGTTTAAGATGCCCATGAGATATCCAAGTAGACAGTTGGATATACAGCTCTAAACCTCAAAGGAAAGGTCTGGGTTAGAGATACTGCCATTTGGTAGGTCAGTAGCTGTTAAATATTGGTAGTTTCATATGTTTTAGGTGGTAATTAAAGTCAGGGGAATGAATCAGACCCCCTAGAGAGTTTAGAGAGAGAAGAACTGAGGGTTTGAAATAAAGGCTTCTGGAAATTCTGTCCATTAATGTCTAAAAAGGACCTGAATTCTGATTGCAATAATTTTCCCCTTAAATTCTTTTAAGGGATGTGTCTTCCAGGAAATACCTGAAGATACAAAGGAAACAAATGTAGCTGGGAACATTGGCTAGTTTATTGGAGTAGAGGCGATCGTTGGTGTTCACAGTAGCTACAGCTGCCATAGTAAAAGGCTGGTTAAAAGATATGCTCCACCTCTTTACCAGACTGACACGCTGAACCCATAAGAGTAAAATAATACTAGTGATGAAAGCTCACATTTGTTGAGCACTTACTGTGTGTCAAATGCTTTTACTTAAACCATTACAATAACCTTATGAGGTTGATACTAATATTAACCTCATTTTATAGGTAAGGAACCTGAGTCTCAGAGAAGCCCCACTTTTACAAATGAGGAAACCAAATCTCAGAGAGGTTAAGTAACTGGCCTGTGGTCCTACAGGTAAGAAATGATAGAGCTGGGATTTGAGCCTAGGTGATCTCACTCCGGAGTTGTGAAACTTTAGGATGACAGATGATTGGAAAAGCGTCAGAACCAGAGGGCTCTTGAAGTTATGTGTACAGCTAATATCTGGCATGCTAGAATAAGTACAACCTTTGTGGCCAGCCAAGCCTGAGTTTGCCACTTCCTAACTCTGTGTTCTTAGACATGTGACTGTGCCTTATTTTCCTCACTTATAAAATAATGGTAATGATTTTCACAGGATCGTTATGAGGGCCAGACAAAATTATTTAGTGTGCATGGCCTATATCAGGTACTTGGTTAAATGCTGCTTTTTATTTTAAGTATTATGGTTATAAGTTATGGTGTAATTGGCTTATAGTTGAGAAAAGCTGAGGATCAGAAAGTGGAAGGGATCTAGCCAAGATCACATGAAGGCAGAGCCAGGAGTCCAGCTCCATATCTTGGCTCCTGACCCATGCTCTCTACTGGACCATGTGGACAAAGACCACTTTGTCATTGGATCAACCATGGTAGTGAGACTGGGTGTCTGTGGGCCCCAAGGTAGAAAGACAGATTAATTTTCATAGCAGGCATTCTCATTAATTACTATTATTGCAAGCCCAAGGAGAGTGACAGTTTCCCAGAGATCTCTCAGTGAAGGGCATTATTAATGAGGCCACTTAGCACAGTTAGAAGGTAGAAAAGACAGTTAGACCAAATGTCACCTCTTTGTTCTGTCCGTCTTTTATTTACTCAGCAGACAGCTACTCTGGACCAGGTTCAATGCTGGGGATGCTGCAGGGCATGAGGAGGTTCCCAATCCCAGGAAGTACACAGGCACATAGCCTCTGTCACCATGAGCAATGAGGCCCTCTGGGATTCTCATCAGGACCAACCACCTAACCTCACCCCACCATCTGACATCCTCAGAAGGGCATTTACTGTCAAAAGCAGCAGTCCCCGGGTCCCATTTTATTGGATAACTAAGCATCTTGATTTTTATGTGTGTTTCAGCTGGGAAGGGCTACCCCTGCAAGACGTGTAAGATAGTACTGAACTCCATAGAACAGTATCAAGCTCATGTCAGCGGCTTCAAACACAAGAACCAGTGAGTAATCGTCCTTTGAAATTCAAGGGTCTGCAACAAGAATTCAGGGCTTCTAAATAAAAACAAAGCCAAGTATTCCTTTGCTAAAATGGAATCCTGGCAGCCTTTTCTCAGTCAACAGAAAATCAATCAGTTAGCAGAAAGAAGTGTCTCCTCCTTAAGCTTTTCTCCCGTCAGCTTCTCTGCAGCCTTTGGACCTGCTGGGCTGAAGGTTTTAGTAGAGAAACATAGTTTCCTTGGTGGTCTCCTAAAAGTACTTAGATTTTCTACCCTTTAACAGTCTGACTAAGCAAGCTTTTTTTGGTCCCCACCACCAGCCTAAAGAATTCTTGTCATCAATTCTATGGCAAGAGCTCCCTCTACAGGTTATTACCAAATATGACCAGGTTTGTTCATTCCTTGACCAAATATTTATTGAACACCCTCTGAGTGGTGGCCAGAGACCCAGGCCCTGCTCTCGTGACCTTACATTCTGATGGGAGGAGACAAACAATAAACAAGTAAACAACCAATAATTACAAATTGTGATAAGTGCTTTGAAGGAAAGAGGTAAACAGAATCAGTCATCTGTTCATATAAACCTTGAACATGACTAACATTCTTTGAGCCACTCTTCTGTTACAGGGCATATGCCAAGCAAATTCTCTCAGGTAATCCTCACAACAGCCCTAGGAAGAAGGAATTATTACAGACAAAGGCAGCCACCATTCCAAGTGATAGTATGAGGCAGAGCCTATAATTCAAACTAAAGCTTGTCTGGCTCACAGCACACCCCTCCAAGGCTTCATGCTTATAAGGGGGTTGTGGCACCATGCGATATGAGGAGGCTAGGGCCTGGCCAGGGGAGGGCTCATGTGGTTCTGTCCCTTCCTCTCAGAAGGGAACTGGGTAGTGTGGACAGTGTGCCATTATGTAACTTTCTGAGATGGGAATATCCCCATTTTATAGATGAGGGAACTGAGTTTCAGGCAAGCAAGTCTACTAAAATGATTTCTTTGACTTTGGTGGTAGGTTCTGTATTACTCACAGAGCTGAATGAATTAAAGGTGGTGGAAACACAGAATATTAGAGTCAAAATGTCCTTGGTCCTCTCTGCCTGAAGTTTCCCTTCCCACATTGCAGCAGATCTTCTTATTTATTTTTATATATATCTTAAATTGGGAGGACTCTTGAGGCTTCTGTTAGATATGACCTTGACACAAGCCCCCACAATCCAGCGGGAGAGGCTCACTCCCATTTCAGCATACCCTCCTTGCAGCTTGACTGGTGGCAGTTTCAGTAGACCACCTGGAACCAGCCAGAGCCCTACCCTGGGGCTACCCCGTCTTGAAAATGCTAGCATTTACTGTTTTCTTCCTACACTTTCAGCTATGGGACTTTGGGTGAATCAGTAAACCTCTCTGAACCTCCACTTCCTTTTCTGTGAGATTATAGATACAATTTGTTGAACACCTAATTTAGTCTCATTTAATTCGCAATAGCAGCTCTGAATTAAAGACACACAAACCCCCCCTTTTCCAACCCAAGGAAACCTTATGTCAGGTAGGTTAAGTGACTTGCCCAAGATTGCACAGTTACTTGGAGTTAGACCCAGAATTCAAATCTTTTGATTCCAAAGTGCATTCATTGTGCTCTGCCATTCCAAGTGGAGTTTGACATGAAAGTTAGAGATAATGTATGTGTAGTGCTAGTACCAAAAAGGGGAGCTATTAGAGGTAAGCTTTCATTCATTCAACAAATATTTATTGAGTACCTATTATGTGCCAGGCCCTGTTTGGGGCACTAGCGCTACAGTAGGAACCAAGACCAGTAGTGTTCCCTGATCTTTTGGATCCCTATCTAGTGGTAGAAGCAGATCCTAAACAAATCCATAAACAAATAAGACAATATCAGGTGTTGCTAGATGCTCAGAGAGTGGGATGGAGAGTGACAAGAGAGCCACTTTTGACTCAGTGTGCGAGGGAGAATGATCAGTCTGTACTATCCAGGTCATACAGGGTCATATAGGGCCCTGTAGGCAGAATAAATGGCTTGGTATAGTGGAGAGACATGGGCTGCCATCCTGAATCAACCACACTTTCAAAAAGCTTACACGGGGAGGGGGGGATTTTTTAGAATAATGAGAAACAACAATAAAAAGCTTACTGGGGGCAGGTGACTTAAACTTTTCTGAACTTTAGTTTCCTCATATATAAAATGGGGGTACTATCTCCTCCCCCTTGTAGAATTGCCATGAGGATGAAATAGGATGCTGGAAGCAAAGCATTGTGCATAGCATGCAGTGGCCCTCAGTAAAGGAGAGCTGCCCTCCTTATTACTCCAGGGCCCTGGAAGAGCTGTACTATCCTTAGAATAAACTACCTGGAGCACCATCACAACCGCCACAAACTGACCCTGTGCATTTATTCCTTCTCAAATTACAGGTCACCAAAAACAATGGCATCACCCCTGGGCCAGATTCCAGTGCAAAGGCAGCCGATTCAGAAAGACTCAGCCACCTTGGAAGACTAGAGATATTTCTGTCTGGCATCCCAGGGTGAACCAGCCATGAGCCAGCTTCCCATGACCATGGTCAGCCCTTGGCTCCCTCTTCCTCGTTTCTTATACCTGGAGAACACATAGGCCTAAGGCAGGAGTGGGCCACAGGTAGCCTCCGATTGGTCCAAGGAAATTCACCCCTGCTTTTCCCCTTTGGAATGGGCCCTGTAGGTTGGGACAAGGGAAGGGGGTGAATCCTGAGAGGACCTGGGGCCTCACGGGGTAGCAGTTTGGAGGATGGCCTTTCCCCTTCCCCAGCCTCTTTGGGCCATATGTCATGAGCCCCAGGCCTGTCTTTCCTCTGCAGGTCAGTTCTGAACCAGTGTCTGCAGCTAAAGAACCGAGCTCTCCCTGGGCTCTAGGCAGCTCCAGTGAAACCTGGAGCTTTCACACCGGACCTTGGCCTAGGTGGGAAAGGGTAGATGGAACTGGCTGCTCCACGGAAGCTTGGAGCTAATATGACACTCCCCTTTTCCTCAAAAAGTACAGGCTTTCCTGAGCCTGCGACCAGACGCTGGCCAGTTAGACAGCTTTCTGCCCACTGCGAGGTTTCCTCCTGGAGCAATGACACAGTCCCGGCAGAGCAGTGCTGTCCTTCCTGTCCCTGCTCCACGGTTCCTGAATGGTGCTAAGGATCTGCAGCAGCTGGGGAAAAGCTAGAGCTGGAGGAGGCCTCAGTACCCTATGGCATCATGGAAAGCTCCAAGGGGGGCCTTTCCCCTCCTCTGTCAGAGAGGTGCTCTGACCCAGGGGCATGTGGGCAAGTCCCCATATGCAAATTCCTCTGATGGTTCTGTGCCATTAAAGGCAAACCACCTCATGCCAGCCAGCTCTGAGGTTCATCGCTGCTCCTTGGCCCTCTAGCCCTCTCCTTCTCCTTATGCAGCAGACCACCTGCCCAGGTTGCTGTGGTGCTAGCCCTCTCCCATCATCCACCAGGAGATTCCTGGGTACCAGGGAACAGGCTACGACCCCCAGGGAAAGAAAAGAGAGCTGGTACAGGTTTCTGCAATGAGGAAAAAGATGTTTCCCAGGCCCCAAGCTTCGATTTCTCCAACTCTGCTGTGTTTTATAGCTGAGGACTTCAATGGGAGTGGATTTTTCCTTGTAGCTTTCAAGCAGGAATTCCAAGGAGTGTCACCATCATAGGCCCCTCTTCATTGAGTCAGAGAAGCTCCTAGCTGCTCTCATGGCCTTGTCCCCCGATTGCCTGTCCCTTTGCCTGTGAAACGCCTTGCTGTATTGTGTATGGGTGTGTGTGCGTGCGCATATGCTCTGTCTCTTGGTCACTGAAGCATCTAAATAAAGAATTTCTCCCATGAGCCAGACTGCAACTTAACAGACCTGGGATTTGGTGCCAGATTGCCGTTGGATCTAATATGTGTGTCTTGACCGCTTACCCTCGCCCCTCTCAGACTCCCAGAGCTCCAAATACTGATCTTAAGAGGTGGGACAGAGATAAACATCTAAATTGCTTGGCAACCTTGTTGAAGCCTTCCCAGGCGCCCTAAACTTAATACCACCTCATCCACTCTACTTCCCCCTGTCACTGAGGGCTTTATGGAGGTCTTTAGGGGGGTTGAGCTGAGAATGTACTTTGTTTGAGAGGATCATTCTGGCTGTTCGGTGGAGAAGAGATGCAGGGGAGCAGGGCAGGAGACAGACGGGGAAGCCAAAATGGAGGCTGTGTCCAATATGGCTCTCTCCAGGCTAATCCCTTCAGGGCTGAGACCTAGCCTCTTTCATCTCTACTTCTCTAATGTGGAGTGGTGTGTCATGAAGTGTTTGTTGAATGAATGAATGTATGAATGAATGAGGGTGTATAAGGAAAGATGGCCTTTCCCAACACAGCTCTTACTAGCACTAGGTTTGTTCCATCAACTTATAGGCCTAGAGATTCTTGCAGGAAGCTTTTCTATGACCCAGAAATGATCTACGGAAGGAGTGAGTGTGATGGCCTCAGGAGCCCTTTGTCCAATGTTTGTCTCAGACAGCCAGATCTGAGGAGGGTACCCAGGCAGCCTCAGCCCCCATTCTTCACTCAGCAAACTGTTCTTGGCACCTGCTGTTGACAAGCTGGGAAGGGCCCTATGCAGCCCCCATGGTGGATTCTCAGCTCTCAGCATTCAAAGCCCAGGACTGTCCCAGCAGTTTCCCTGGAGTCCTTCTTACCTTATCCAGAGTGTCAGAATCAGCCTCATCTATCAGGCAAGGGAATGAAGGGCCGAAGGGTGGGTGGGCTGTCAGATCATGAGCCCTTGGCCCATAAGACCTTAGTCTGGATTCAGGAGTCTCTGCTAGCCGTGTGCCCAGCCCTGTTGGCAAGAGGGCACAGGGATGAACATTTTCTTGCCATTGGGGAGCTCACACACTATAAAGATCATTATGGCGATGGTCAGAGGATCATAAAGGGTGCAATGAGAATGCCCAGATGCGGGCACTAACTCACCTAAGGGTATGAAAAAGCTGGAGAAGTTGGGAAACTTGCATTTGATCTACATAACAGCCTTTTGAGCTAAGTAATGATATTCCATTTTATAGAAAGGTATAGTATCTTGCCCAAGGTCCTGCCACTAAGAAGCAACAAAATGGAGAGTGGAATCCAGTTCTCTAGATTGCTAGTCTGGAACCCTTTTCAAACAAGGACCAGAATCCTTCCCACAGGACCCCTGGGCCTGTGCCACCCACCTTCTGGCAGGGCTATGGTCTCACAGAGCAAGCAACCATAAAATAGATTGGACAAGGCTCAGTGGTTATTTTATATTCCAAGCCCCCGCATACTTTTCATAATTTTACCCAAGACTTCCAGTGTATTAGACTCTAGTTATTACTGTAATAAACTGAAATCAAAATGATTAGCTAAAAAGGAAAATTTATTGATTCACCAAATGAAAAATTTCAGTACAGGGATGGCTAGATCCAGGTTCTGACACACTGTCTTCAGGAAGAATTTAATCTCACTCTGCTTTCCTCTATGTGGCCTCTTTCTCAGGCAGACTCTCCAGAAGGCAGCAAGATGGCCAGTGGCAGCTCCAGGCTTGTATCCTGATAGATAGGCAACTACAGTACAGAAAAAACATCTTTTCTTACTAGTTCCAAGAAAAAATTCTGGATTGATTCATTAGCCAACTTGGCCCTGTTCCGATTCCTAAACCAGTCACTGCAACTAGGGGAAATGGTGCCCTGATTTGGGGCCTGGGAAAGAATGAGCTCCACCTAAAACACATTGACTGGAAGAGAAAAGAAGAAAGTGTGGGGCTCCTTCCAGACTAAGGGAGAAGAGTGGTTGGGGGTGGGCAAAAATAACTGCTTTAAGCCATACCCAGAAATTGTCTTTATTTGAAATACCACTTTTTCCCTAGCTTTCTGAGCTACATTTTGTAATGTGCTCTAATTTTTTAAGTACAATTTGATAATGCTTACATATGTGTGCACATCTGGGCAGTCACCCTCCAGACCAAGATACAGAACACTGCCAGCTCCCCCGAAGTTTCCCTTGTTCCCCTTCCTAGTTATTATCTCCCAGAAGTAAACACTGTATTGACCTCTATCACCATAGATTAGTTTTGCTTGCTCTTGAATTTTATAAAAATGGAATCACATCCTCTTTTGCTTAATATTATGTCTGTGAGATTCATCCATGTTTTTGTGTGTGTGAGAAGTTCATTTTTTTCATGCTGTGTAGTCGTAGTCCATTATATGAATACACCACAGTTTAGCCATTCTGTTGATGGACGATTGGGTTATTTCCATTTTGAACTATTATAAATAAAGCTCTTATGAAAAATTTTGTATGTGTCATTTGGTGTACATGCACACACATAAACCCAGGAATAGAATTGCTGCATGATAGGATAGGTGTGTGTTTAGCTCGTCTAGATACTACCATATGGTTTTCCACTGTGGTTCTACCAACTTAACAACTTGATAGCACTTGGTATTGTCAGTCTTTCTAATATTGGACATTGTTGTGGCACATGACTTCACATCAGGGCCCCTCTTACTCTGAGCATCCCTGGGATCAGATTTGAATTTCCCTAGCCTGGAATGGTCTCTCATGTCAGTGCCCAGGACCCACAATACCCAATCCAACAGGCAAACATCAGAGGGAGCTCATGCCCGTGACTCTGGTGGCTAAGAAAGGTCTCATGGAGGGAGAGGTGTCAGCCCTGAAGAGGCGGTCTAGTGTAGCAGCAAAAACTCAAGCTGGAGTCAGGCAGCCGGGGTTCAGGGGTTCATATCATAGCTCTTCAGGGCTGTGTGATCTTGGCAAACTGCCCTGTACCTACTCCTGAAACATTACTATCTACCTTAGAGGGTTGTTTGGGTAATTAAAAGAATAGATGCATATGAAACAATTACAGTACCTGACATGTGATAGATACTATGTAAATGAGGACTATGTAAATGTTCCTTATATTATTGGCCTGAAGTAAGCCCTGGGTCTCCCTGGGGATGTGAGGCCAGAAGGAGATGGCATCTGGCACAGAGTCCTGTATTAAGTGTCAATGATTTATGAAATGCCAGAAACCTAATTCAATCTGGGGGGCAGGGGGGGACATGCTGGCCAGAGGTGGCTCTTCCCAGGGCTCCAGCCAGAAGTCACCTTTCACTGCTAAGGACCCTCAGCTTAGCCCAGGCATCTCAGGGGCACCTCAGGTTCCGCAGCCAATGACATCTGAGGAGAACACAATGGAATCATGCATGTAAAGCTCTTAACCCAGAGCTGGATGAAAAGCAAGTTGGGATGTAATAACCACTCAGTGCAGACCCGCAGCTATGTATGTGGCCATATAGCAGCCATGAAGCATGTCATGGAGGACACTGGTCTGGGATTCAGTGTCCCTGGGTGTTGTCTGAGCCCTGCCACTAACTTCATGTGACCTGAAGCCTTGCTATCTTCTGTCAGGTCGAAGTTGTAAGAAGTCACAGTTTGAGCCTGAGTCCTGAAGAGGTGGTGATGGTTGGGCAGTTAGGGGTTCTCCCAAGGAGGTAACAAAGAAAGCCCTTCCCTCACAACAGCCCCTACCAGATGAGCTGTTCCCATCCCTAACCAGATCTTCCTTCTGTTCAGCTGTGTCAAATAGAGCAGGAAAAAACAATTTCTCCCTCTGGCCGTCTCTCCACCTAAAAACCTCACCTATTCTGCCCTGTGCCAAGCCCACGTTACAGAGAGGGCAGGCATGTCCCTGTTCTGGCACTCCGAGGCTCGCTGTCCACAAATCCTGCTTCATCTGTCCAGGGCCTCCAAAACTCAGAAGAAACCTAGGACGGTTCTGTCAATGCGTCAACGATACAGCGCAATGACCCTGGTGGCCACTAGGGGGAGAACTTGCCTTTTTTTTTTTTTTTTTTTTTTTTTTTTTGGCTGGACAAAGCAGATCAGTCCCAGGGCCTATTTGAAGACTGAAGAGAATAAGATGACTTTTCCTGAGCCCCTGTATTTGATATTTCATTTGGCCCTCAAGAACTTGAAAAGGCTCGATTTTACAGTGGAAACTCAGAGGCAAAATCTTGGAGAGTTTACACAACCAAGAAGTAGACATGGAGGGATCTGACTGCCATGTTTCCAAGTTGTTGTTAGCACACATGCTATTTCTACTTCCAAACGCCCCCTTGCCCTTCCCTTAGGACACTTCCTTCCAGAGGACACTGTTTGAAGGCTGTAATTTAGTCACCTGCCTGGGAGAACACCTGATGGCCGCCCTACTCATTAGCTTTTCTTATACTCTTTTCCCTTGGGTAGTATCTCTCTTCCATTCTTCCACCTGTAGTCCTGTAGTTCTGAGAGACTGACCCCACTCCCTGGCAATCAGAATAAGTCTGGGGCTGTTAGTAGCCATCTTTGCCAACACATAAAGGCCATCTGCATGAAAATTAAATCATCACAGAGGAAAACAGCTGAGAGTTGAGAAGTGACTGATTTCTGATGAGCACCTGGATCCAATCAAGCCTGAAACCAATACTCTCAGGACTTTTTAGTTATAAGTCAATACTCTTTATTCCTGAAGGCAATTTAAGGTGGGTTTCTATCACGACCAGGAGTACTGTCTAATACAAGTTCCAGCTTCCCTATCAACCCAGCGATCCTAAGAGGATCATCAACCCCCAAGGCTGAGTTGGCTGTCCTTCTGTGCTCTCTGATGATGCCCTGTGCCCCCTCTAGCATTGCCCTTAATATACTATGTCAATTCCCTGTCTCCTCCTTTAAGACTAGAAACTCTTTGAGGACAGTAACTGGGTCTTATCATAGTGGGTCTCTGGTGCCCAGCAGAGGACGGTGATTGCTTAAATAACTGCTTAGCGATTGAGTCAATTCATG